AGAGACAGAGACAGAGACAGAGACAGAGGGAGAGAGACAGAGTGTTGCATACTCGTGAATACTTCAACAAGTATGGGCAGAACCAAAGATAACCAATATAGGATGAGCATGTATGCAGCGGAAGTCTGAGAAATGGACTGACTCACATAGACTGAACTCATACAGATATCACTCAACACACAAACAATCGTGAGATGGTGGGGTCTGAGCCAATCATAGACGATGCTCAGGCCCCGTACAACCATACACAGACGAAAGGTGGGAGGAGAGACGATGGAGGTGGGAGGTGTAGGCAGCACCAGGTGTCACCGAGATAGAATCCAGTAGGTCACCGATATGGTAATCCGAAATGTCATCGAACAAGACCAGAATGTCGTGGACGATCAGTCTCCAATGTCGGAGGTACAGAATCCTAATGTAACCGATGTCCAATCTGTGATGCTGTCGAGTATCAATCCCAGCTATCTCCAAGTCTCCAATCTGGTAAGTATCACAGCCTCTTACCACCGAAGTCCAAACACTGATCTCGGTCCAACTCGTATCAAAGTCTCCAGTCTGACAAAGAAGAAGAAGAAGATTTAGAAGAAGTCTGAAGGAGAAGAGGAAGTCTGAAGGAGAAGAGGAAGTCTGAAGAAGACGAAGAGGAAGAAGAGGAGATAGCAGAGGAGGAGGGAGAGATGGCGAGGTAGGGGGGAGGAGAATCCTCACTGCCCTGTCCTGGCCCTAAGCCTTACCTGCAGGATGCAAGGTGGCACCTGGAGTAGAAGTCCTCTGAAGTCGAAGTCCTCCGAAGCTATGGCGCCACAGGTAAGTACCAGGTAAGTACCTCGCTCTCTCTCTCTATCCTCAACTGCAGTCTAGCGCTAACTCACGCTGCTGCTGTGGCGCTGCGCCCTAAACAGAAATAGCGCAGCGCTCCTCCGAAAAGCTGCTCCTCCAGAATGCGTGAGAAGGCGGCCTCCTGGTACCTAAGTACCGGTGTGGAAGGCCGGCCTCTATACTGCGAGGCCGAGCCGTGATCTGAATCGTCAAAATTGACGATTCAGATCAGACTGGCAGGCGGCAGCCTCAAGAGCGCCGCCAGGCCCAACGATAATGTCGTTTGGGCCTGCCCGTCTGGTCTGGTCCTAAATTGTGGCCTAAAGGCCAACCGGTGGGCCTACAGTGGCGCCTCCGGTCTAAAGGTCCGGCCTTGGGCCTGGACCGGCCTCCGAACCCCTATCTGTCGGGCCTAACCGGGCCCGTGTGACACAGTGTGTAACACAGAGATAGAGAGAGAGACACACACACACATGGCCGCTGCCAGCCTCTCCCACGAAAATTGTGATCCCTTGTCTTGTGCTCATCCCCCCCACCCACTGATTACTTGCCCAGCATGCCGTTGTGGCCTTGATCTGCCATGCTTAAATAACTGCCCAAGTCAGCCTTCCATACTGATGACATGTCAGCAACATGCCATGTGCCGGCAATGTTTCCAGGAAGCTGTCATAGAAAGTTTGTGTCTTTGTCCTTCGGGACATCCGTTAAAATTGGAATGATACAGTGAAGTTTAGCATGGCCCCTGCGCAAGGATGACACGCATAAATTGAGAAATGGTCCAAAAAAAAAAAAAGAAAAAAAAAAACAACGTACGTGTCTTCACCTTGGCTACCAGAGTGGCCTGGGGTCACTTGCCCGGCCGGGCCAAAAACTGCAAGGAAGATGAGCAATAGCGAACTTCAGCAATCAAACAGCATCATACACATGAGACCAGATAGTCGTGACCTCGAACCAATAGCAGAATTACATCACGAGTTTCACCAAATAAGAGCACACCAAAAGCTCATAATTGACAATGTTGTAATAGTCTCATCATCATCAACGAAGAACCAATGTTGATATCCTATCTGGCGCTCGGCGCCCAGACTAGGAATGGCAGATCCTATCTAGCCTAGACTACAATGTTGCTGATGACGTCAACAGCTTCCCATGTACGAGCAGATCTCGGCCAATGCCGCACGCGTCAAGCACCAGGTATGTCTCTTGTATCACTCACAACCTCGTTCCCCAACTCACAGATGCCACTTGCACCCAAGGACCACCATGCGCCCCATCCAGCATTCAGCAGCGCAGCTCGGCTATGGCTGCCTGCTCCTTCCAGCTCGCCCGTGAGCGAGTGAGCCTGGCCAGCGTTAGTGCAGCAGCGCTTGCGCAGCATGCAGCCAGTGCCCGAATGTCCAATGCGTAGGCAGGCCCTTCTCTATATCGAAGTGACCTGCTGCTGCGTGCAGTAATGCGGTACTGGGCCCTGGCCCAGAAGCTTCCGGTTGGCCCCACGAGGCCGAGCCTCAGTCCGAATTAAACAGGCCCAGGGCCTGAGGTGGTTACCAGCACCCAACTGCCCTCAGCCTTTGCTCGGTCCACTTTGTGTAACCGGCCCAGGGCCTGCCTCAGTTACATGCAATGAAAGGCAGCTTGGGCCTGGGCGCTTCCAACCAACTGGCGCTGCGCAACTGCCTGAATTTCCCCAGTTGCGTGGTGTCCCCAAAATGGCCTTTAGGCCTTGGTCATGCCTGCCTTCACTTACGGCGCCCGGCTGTGTGAAAAATAGGCCCTGTAGGGCAAATCGAGGCCTTGTGCCTCGCATTCCCTCCTCCATACTTCGATAGTCCTCTGAGAAGTTCAGTCATCGATAATCTGGCGTTTTCCCTTCTGCAGAGACTTCTCGTAGCGAGCGACAACCTGTGGAGTGGTCTGCATCAGTTCCTCCCGTGTGAGCCATCTATCCTCCTTTGAATCAGTGTGATGTCTGAACCGAACTCGGTACTGCATCTTCGGTTTTGGAGGATGTCCCCTACCTGTCGGTCTTGGAACTGGCATTTCCCTGTGGTCAACGATGTCATCGATGTCGACCTCTCCATGCATGGTTGGGGGCAGCATTGAGCGACGAGAGGGAAACTGATCTGTTTCTTTAAAAGGTGCAAGCTTGGAGGCGTGGAAAACAAGGTAAGTGCGTAAGTGACCAGGGATGCAAATAACATAAGAAGGGTCATCCGGTTCATCCCCAATGACATCTAGAACCTCCCATGGTCCAAAGTACTGTGCCATGAGCTTGCGGGAGATCCCGTGCTCCTGTCCCAGTTCTGAAGACTTAACCCAGACTCTTTCTCCCACCTGGAATGTAGATGGGCGGCGGTGTTTGTTCTTTGACTCTATCATCGCCGCCTGTGCTTTATGCATCTGCTCAACAGCCTGTGGCATCAGGCGCTCATGTCGATAAGCAAACTCTAAGGTTCCTGGTGCAGCAGATGGCTGATTCTTAGGTAGTAGGAAGTCCAAAGGCAGTCTAGGCTTGAAACTCAGTAGCAATCTGTTCGGGCTTACTCCCGTAGCACTGTGCACAGTGTTGTTGTACAGGCTGGCGATGAGAGCAAGTTTCTCATCCCAGTCTACCTGATTTGGCTTGATGTAATGCCTCAGCAAGTGTTGTACAGCGCGGTTCAACTACTCTGCTTGCCCATTCGCCTCTGGGTGATTGCCTGATGTCATTTGGAACTGCGTGCCCTGTTCTGCAGCTGCAGCTTTCCATAGTTCACTGGTGAATCACACATCCCGGTCACTAACTATAGACTTAGGCAGTCCAAAATGTCTGACCCAGTTCTCTTTGAACAGCTTGATCACATACTCAGTTTTAGCTGTTGCAGGCATTGCGACTAACCTAGCGTACTTACTAAACCTATCCACAATGACATAGGCGTAGCGCATACCACTCTTGCTGGTGACCAGCGTATCCATGAAGTCCATGGACAGGCTCTCACCAGGCCTTTCCGGAATCGGAAGGGGCTTTAGTAGCCCAAGAGGAGCCTGTGTACGTGGCTTGTCCCTTTGACAGACCCGACAAGTCTCCACGTACAGCTCTGCGTCTCTCATCATCGTGGGCCACCAGAACCGCTGCAGCAGATTGGCTGCTGTCTTTTTATAGCCAAAATGTCCGGTGGCATCATGACACTCGCCTAAAAATAAACTACGCAAAGACTCTATCTGACACACACATACGTTTATTCCCTGCCTTCTCAAGGAACAGCAGCCCATTGACCAACTCAAACTGAACAGAAGTAACTTTATCCTTCGCCTCAAGTCTGCGTATGATCTCAAACATGAATTGGTCCTTGCGATAGGCTTCCACCAATGAGTGAGTGGCATTGTCCGCAAGCTCGAACTCAGTGATCAGCGCACCAGAGAAGTCAGGCCTACGTGATAGGGCATCAGCAACCTTATTATACTCACCTTTCAGATACTGGGATTCGAAGTCATACTGGTCAATGACTTCGATCCA